CTGCTGAAGTGACTGGTGCATCGGGAGCTCCCACATGTGGGGTGTTCCTCACCCATCTGCTGCTCCCCGCTCTGAGGGCTGCAATGCTTCTAGTGGACTAGTCTGTAAGAGGCAAAGTTCTTGCACTTTCTGAGAAAAAAATATTTCCTGTGTGAATAAAACGTGCCTGAGCAGAGGTGGCTGTTGGCAGGCGAAGCCTTTGTCTGGGAGGCTCTGCCGAGCTTGGGGTGAGGGCAGCTACACCTCAGGTACCTACAGGTGAGTCCTGTCCACTGGGAGCCAACGTGAAGCATGTTTAGTCTCTGGTTCCCAGTGTCCTCTGCCTGTCCCAGCTGTCAGACTCCCCTAGTGCTCCAAGACCAGCTGGAGCTGGAGGGAAGCAGCTCCTTCCTGCTGCTGTGTCCTGCAAACCCCTCAGGTGCAGCATCCTGGGTGGGCCCTTTTACCAGCACCCAACTTGGTCTTACTGCACCAGCACTTTGGACAGGGTGGGAGCCTCACTTGCCTGTAGGATATTTCCAATCTAAAATAAGCTCCATGGATGACTTAGGTGCTTGTCTGGGTGTTTGAAGGGACGGCAAATGTGGCTGGGGGTTATTCCTTGGAAACCCTTTCAGCTGATTAAAGGGGTGAGCTCAGCTCTACCTCTTTGTCCTGACAGAGTCGACGCTGCCCCGAGGAAGGGGTGTGTTTCCAGCATGGTGTTGGGACTTTGTGGCTTTTGTCCCATGTGGCATTTTGCTGGAAGATGTCCTGAAAGACTGCTGCTAGCTCTGGGGAGGCTCCTGGAATCAGTCCCTTGGTGGAGGCTGCAGCAGGGCTGTGTCCCCTCCCTGGTGGGTGGGTTGCTGACAGTGTCTGTGGGTACCGTGTCCCTGCTAGTCTGTCTGGTCACCTTTCACACATGTATTGCTGCTGTCTTGATGTCCTTTTTCCCCTGGAGGCCCATGGTATGGGGTGGGGAAGCAGGACAGGAATGATGTGAGCACAGTGCTTTCAAGAACTGAAGTGGTTTATGCTTTTTATTAAGAAGATATGTTTTGTTTGGGTATTTTGGTTTTCTTTTTCCTTTGAGTGGCTGCTAGTAGGGTTTGGTCTGGCTCAAGTCCCAGGGCAAAGGAATTTATTCTTCTATTTTATGGGAAGAGCTGGTTTTGCATGTGGGTGGAGCTGGAGAAATCCTGTGGACTTCAGTGTGAGCAGCTGTTGTGGTTTAGTTTTCTTTACAGCTATCACTTTGTTTATGAGAGGAAAAAACCTGCTTTTCCTCCCAGTCTGGAGATTACTTTGTTCCTTCAAACCACTTCCCAGGTGTTAGTGATGAGAATAAACCTGTGTACACTGGTTTTCTGGTGTCAGCTCTGTTTTGTCTCCTTTCCCATGGTAAGGGCTGAAGTGCTCCCTCAGCTCTGGTGGCCTTCCTGGGAACCACCCAGGGCGTCTCCCTGCTGTGTGGAGACCTCAGTGGTGGTCAGACCCCTCTTCTGCAAGGCCTTCCTCCTCCTCTTCCAAACATCTGCATTGCAAGAGCTGTCTGGACACTGAGCTTGTACCATTTACTCAGGGCTCAGCTGAGCACTGAACAGGGTTAGACCAGTACAGCTGGTCCTGGCTGATGCTACCAGCAAGGTTTAACCTGTTCCCTGTGTGCTGCACAAATGCTGTTGTCGTTCTGAGGTGGCTGACCAAGCTTGTGCCATGCTTTTACTCAATGATTGCCTTTCCAAGCATCATAATCCTGTGACTTTAGCCCACAGGTCAGTATTTTTAGGCCACAGCTGTTAATGGTGCAAGTGAGTAGTACAGGGAAATGCAGCCTGAGTTCTCCTGATTAATTCCATGGATTTAGGCCCAGTAGCAATGGACTGCTGCAGGATATATGGCTCTCTTCTCTTGTGGAGACTTTCCAGTGAACCAGTGCTGCTGTGGTCTCTGCTTTGAGCTGCCAAGTGCTCCACTCCCCTGCCCACCCCCTGTGCTGCCTGTCCCCTCAATACTGACCAGGGAATGGCTCTGTTCCCAGGAGCAGGGTCCTGAGCAGCATCCAAGGCCCTGGCAGCAGAGCACACAGGAATCCTGCAGATCTTCCTCCTTTGATGTACAGAGGAAGCCACAACAGGGAGGGAGGAGACAGCCTGGCTTCCCAGGGTGTTCAGTATGAACTCAGAGCAGGAAAAGAGAGCCTCCCTTCAGCTCAGCCAGCTCTGCCTGTCTGTCCTGGGGCAGCAGATGCAGCTGGTGGGATAAAACCACTTTTGCTACCCCTCTGCAGCTCACTTCTAAATTACTGCAGGGAGTTGCTGCCAAGGAAGCTTCTGCATTGTTCCACTGAGTGGAAAGAGCAAGATTTGGGTGGGTGGTTTTATAGTATTCACTATTTTAAGTAGGAAGAAATAATTAGGCAGAGTTAAGGTGTCACTGCATCAAGTTGAAAAATTAAATAATATTTTACTAAGAAACTTTTTAGTTTGACAAAAATAACTTTCATCAGCTAGCAGCATCACAAAGGCTTGTCTCAAAGCTTGGGGAAGAACTCGGTTTCAAATTCAGGAACCATCTAAAATGAAGGCTTTTCCTGAGCACTGCAGCTGAGCTTCCCCAGACAAGCACTAGATCCATCTTCTCTGGCTCTCCTCCACTGGCAGGGACAACCCAGGTAAGGGTGACAAAACAGGGGGATGTTGCTCAGGTAACATCAATTTAGAGGGGAACTTAAATTCCACACTGTGGAAAGCCAGGGACTGGGCAGTCCTGGTGTCTCTCCTAGTGGCCCTGATCCAGCTCTTCCTCATGTGGAACAGCTGTGTACAGCCACAGGGATGGTGCAGGAGGACGATCCAGTGCTGTTTTCTCTGCAGATTCAGCTTTCAAGTGCTTCACTGAAATGCTTAGACTATCCCAATCTGCTCAGCAGAAGAGCAGCTGAAAACAAAAGCTGACACTGGTAGCGGAACGACCTTCCAAGCTGGTTGAATCCTTGCTGTAACACGTGTGAGGATGGCATCCCTGGGTAGGAGCAGCCTGCAACCAGCCCTTCTGAAAAAACAAGTGCAAGTGGCCTTGTTTCCAGACTCCAGTTCCATGTGGCAGTAGTTGCTCCTACAGCAGCTCCCAACCCTGGACCTTTCAGGCTCTCAAAGGTCCATCTCTGCTCAGTGGTTCTGAGGGCAGGTTTTTCTTGTGTGCCCAGGCTGGTGGCAAATGCTGCAAGTCCGTGGTTTCTTGGCAGTGGATCCCGAAGAGAGACTGCCTGGTCTCTTGGCTTTATTTCCCAACCCTCTTGAGTAGCCACTGCTGCCAGCGTGGTTCAGAGAGACATCTCCAGAAGGGCCTAGAGAAAAACAACTTGAATTTAAGGATCTTTGAAAACATAAGTAGGTGAGAAACAGAAGGTAAGTTCAAAATAGCAGATCAAGGATTCTCAGATTATTCCTGAACCTGCACTTGCTTCAGACTTGTCTGAACAGCTAAGTGTTACCCACTTGTCTTGCAGCATTAGAGAAATGTGGGAACAGAAAAGGGGAAGCTGCTCTGCCTTCTTGCATGCTCTAGTCTACAGCTGAAGCAGAAACAAAACATGTCAAAGGAAAACTTGGAGTTTAAGTAGTTTTGAAAACTTGATTCTATCCCTTTAGCCCCAAGTATCTGAAGAGAAGACAGTGTTGAAGATCCCTCACAGACCACACCTCCCCCTCTGCACTTGTTTACTGTCCCTTTATGTCAGTGCTTTCTTTCACAGCCTCATTTTGTGATTATTTTTGTTTCCAGCATCTTTCCACACTTTGATCTCTGATCAAAGCTTCAGAATGACTTGCCCTCTTCCTGCATCCCTAAACTAGGGCAGAGGGAGTAGCATGGATTCCCTGGCATGCCAGAACGGGGTTTAGTATCTCCAAAAGCAGTGGCCACTGCTTTAACTCCGTATCAACTTGGTAACAGCTCCCTGAGCTCTCTCAGCTGAGCACCATATTTTAGGAGAAATTCCCAAACACTACTGGCAAGAGTGATGGACAGATGGTCAAGCTTACTGCATGTAGCAGCAAAGCATCCTGCTTGGAGCTCAGATATGTGCTGTGAGGATGTATCCTGCTAGCACTTGGAAAGGTAAGCCAGTCTTGGTTGCTATAAGCAACATTTGCAGTGCTATAATGCTGACAGATGTTCTGAAGACAAACCTGACATCTCAAGCTGCACCAGGGGAGGTTTAGTCTAGACTTTAGGAAGAATTTCTTTACAGAAAGGGTGATTAGATGGTGGAATGGACTGCCCAGGGAGGTGGTGGAGCCACCATCCCTGGAGGCATTCAAGAAACAACTGGACATGGCACTTAGTGCTTGGGTCTAGTTGACACAGTGGTGTTAGGTCACAGGTTGGACTCAAGGATCTTAAAGGTCTTTTCCAACCTGATATATTATCCTTGTTAGGAACTGGAGGGATAGGACAAGGAATATTGGGTATAAATGGAAAGAGAGAAAATTTGTATTAGATATTAGGAAGTTTTCCTGTGAGGATGGTGAGACACTGGCACAGGTTGCTCAACGAGGGTGTGGATGCCCCAACCCTGGCAGTGTTCAAAGCAATGATCTAGTTGACAGGGTGGTATTAGGTCATAGGTTGGACTTGATGATCTCAGAGGTCATTTCCAACCTGACTGACTCTGTGAGTATGTATGAAGTACCACAAGATCTGCCATGCTGTGCAGCACGAGCATGTGTGAGAGTTGTGTTTGTCTTAGCTTCATGAACATCCTCCACCCCTTGTGTCTCACCCCAGGCCTCACCTGGTGCCACGTTCTCATCTGCCCACTGAAAGAAGCCACATTGCTGCTCCCGAGGCTTGGGGCAGGTGTGGAACTGCCTCCCCTTGTTGGGTCCATCCTTCTGCACGGTGCGTGTGACAGCTGGTTGGTCACACCTGCACACTGTGGTGCCTCCAGCATCCAAGCTGCTGCTTCCAGAGGGCTCTGCGCCTCTCCCTGCTCCTGGGCGCTGGAATCCCGCTGGGCCCCTTCCCACAGCAGGCTGGGGCAGTGCTGTGGTGCCTCTGTCCTCTGGCTGCTCATCAGCCCAGAGGAAGAAGTTGCAGGTATTGGAGCCACACTTGTAGAACTGCCGCCCGCGGTTGGGCCCATCCTTGCGCACGGTGAGCAGCAGAGCTTCGCTCCCGCAGTTACACACCACCGCGTTGCTCCCATCGTCCGGAGCGGCCGGAGGAGCATCCCTGGTTATTCTGTTGATGTTCATGGAAAGCAGCTGTCTTCGTGGAGGATTTGTGGTGCCCCTCACGTGCCTGTGGTCACCACTGGCTCTGTTAGAGGCCTGCAGGTGAGGTGGTGGCTGGCTGGCTGACAATGTGGGTTGGGATGGTCTGTGTAGGTACTTAAGGTCCAAGAGCTCTTTTAGCATCTCATCGCAGCCTCCAATGCAGCCAACGAACTCCAGGGGCATCACAGGTGGAACGCTGCCTCTCTTGAATTTAAACTTCAGTCTACAAGGAAAGGAAGAGTCAGAGACTCACAACTTCACCTAATTTCTCATCAACAGACCTCAATTTAGACTTGAATTTTTCTGTTATACCAGTTTCCTCAACCCCTCTTCTTTCTATCCCCAAGCCAAGTGCTACTCCAGCTTTCCACAACTGGAATGGAAAGTGGTTGCCCAGCCCAGCCCATGAAGTCTCTGCCCTGATGTCCAACAGGTACATTGGGGTACAGGAGCTGTTTCCCCTTGGGATAAATGCTATGACCTACCTGTGAACTGGATGGGGTTGACACACATCACAGATGCTCTCATCCCTGGTCACATCCAGCACGAAATCAGGGAACCAGACTGCAGCTTTACAGGCTGGATAGCCCATGCAGCTGAGGTAGAACCTGTCATGGGACAAAGGCACTGGATGAGAAAGAAACAAAATCAAGACAGTCAGTGATCCTCTATCCTGTCTCTTCAGCCATCAGAAATGGTCAAAACAACAATTTTAAGGGCAAATACATGTTTGAGAAGAGGTTCAGCTGAGTCAACACAGCTTATGTAGCTGGTGGAGTCAGCAAGCTGCAGCCCAAAGTTTCAAAGTCTTTAACAAAGGAGGTAAATGAGAGTCTAGAAAAACACAAACCAACACAGAAGGCTATTTGCTACAAGAGGAAAGATCACCAACCCCCCATTCTTCCTGGTCTTCAGCACCATGTCATTATTGCACTGTGGACACTTCCGAACAGAAACAGGCATTGCTGGGTACACCTCATCCTGCTCTGTAATTTCTGTGCCTGCTCCAAAATACTGAGCCAGGGCCTGGTCCAACCTGTAAAGAAACAAACAGAGCATCCTGTGTGTCTCCTCTGCAAGGAGCAGTTAGATGCTGCTGTGACTCAGCACCTGCAGCCCCACACACGGCCCCTCTGAGCTTCTCCAGGAGTATTTTGACTGAGCACCACACTTCTGGAACAGCAAAGTTGTGGGTACAACATCAAAGAGGTCAGTGCATGTTGACATCCCCAAATTTAATCTTAATTGCACATTGTGGTTTAAACCCTTAGCTGGCATGAACTCATGAGAGGCTGCAAGTCATCCCTTCCCATGCAACTGCCTACACACACCCGGCAGATCCCCCAGTCCAGGCTGAGCCTCAGGTGGGCAGCCAGCACAGCTGAGCAAAGGGCAGAGGGCAAAGACAGGACTCACTTGTTGGCTCTGGCCACAGCTTCAATGAAGACTTGCTTGTACTTTTGGACCTGCTGCTGCAACACTACAGATTTGTCTTTCTTCCCTTCACAGATCAGTTTTAGATCAGCCTCCAGCTCAGCTCGAAGGTCAGGCTTGGACATCTCGTAGCCCATAGAATCATAGCCTGAGGAATATATAGACTGGTAAGCAAAAGGAAAGAGCAAGTAAGGAAGCTGCCACCTCGCTACGGGGCACTGCCCTTACCTTCCACCAGCCCCATGCCCAGGTGTCCAGGCAGGAAGCGCTGATCCGCTGTCAGGCCCACGTACATCCGTGTCTTGATGGTCTCAATGTGCTCAGCGTGGGTGGCATCAGTCCCTGGAAGCCAAATCAGCTGTCAGTCAAAGCAGGTGCCAAGAAGTGATTTCTCCTGTGCCTGGGGCCGAGTGCAAGGGGCCAAAGGGACAAGGACACACCTTATGGTGAGCACTGCCCTCATGTTTCACTGGTTCTGAGGCCAACAAGGTGCTGGTGGCACACTCTGGACCTGAAATGGCACATTTCCCTAAGTACTGGACTCTGTAGGCTCTTCAGGATATTTGGACTTCGCCCACAGGTCTCTATAATCCTTTATTCTGCTCTTTTTGGTGATTTATTAAGTAAAGTAACATTTAGAAAATTCCCTCTAGTGAATTCCCTCTGCCAAGAGAGAAAGGCCATGCTGCCAATACTGACCAATGCCATGTTTCTCCATGAGAGCAATGAGATCTGCTTCTGTGAGGAGCGAGGGAGGGCTGGTTTCCCCATCCACCATCTCCACCGTGGTGGGCTGGAAGCGACACCCTTTCTGGTACAGTGGGATAACCTGAAGGGAAGGAGAACCTCTTTAAAACTGCTTCGTGGTCCATTCACTAGGGACAAGATGTCACACCAACAGTAGGCCAGTGCAGTCACAGAGCAGCACCCTGTTCTGGAGGAGATCCAGCCCCAAGGGCCTGGGGATTAGCCAATGACAGAGACCATGGAATAGCCATGACAGCTCCTCTTGGTGAGTAAAGTCAACCTCACAGCCCTGTATGGTCTCTGCTGTGGTGTCAGAAGGAAGAATCTACCCAAAGCTGGCACAGTAATGCTGCACAGGTTTCCAGCAGAGATGATTCTAGGTGACACAGCCAGAAATGGTCAAAAGATGTTTTGCAGAGGAGTCTGAAGTTGAAGGGCTACTTTAGCCTCTCCCACCTACGTTATTCAAGGGGAGTGAATTTACCTTATCACTCCACTTCTCGTAAGGATAAACTTCCAGGTAGTTTCGGGCCAGGATCATTAGTCCTTGAGCAATGAATCTCTCATTGGCAATGTCAATTTCCACAGTTGTTTCCTGTCCTTTGGCATCTTGAGAGCAACAAGCCAAAAAATGGCGCACGATGAATTCATAGAGTCTCTGCTCATTGCCCTAATACCAAACAGTGAAAAGGGTCAATGTCCTGATGAGATGTCAAGAGATTAGTGCTAATGACCATGTTATTAAGACTTTAATATTATTTATATTTATCAGGCAACACAAACCAGTTACCTCTGGTGACACTCACCTGCAGGTTAGCAGTGTATTTTGTGGGGTGGATGGGAGGGTGAGCCTGATCAGATTTGGTTCCATGCCGAGGAGTTGGCCCACCCTGATCCAAAATCCTCTGTGCAAAGTCTCCCCAGTTTGGGTCCTGTGTTTGCTGTTGTACCAAGGCCGAGAGGTTCAACTCCTTGGGGAAAATGTTGGTCTCAGTTCGGGGGTAGCTAATGAACCTTAGGAAGACAGACAGGAGAGCACTTAGAGATGCTTCCCATTTTGGACAAATGCCATTTACTTTTGAAAGAGTTAAGATTACCAAACTGAGTCTTGCTTTCTTACCCTTTAGTATAGAGTTTTTCTGCTATTATCATGGTTTCCTTTGCGTTTATTTTCAGCTTGCGTGAAGCCAATTTCTCGAGCTCCTGCGGTGGGAAGAGCCAGAAAAAACAGAAGTGTTTGTGCATAATTAAGAGCAGTGAGGAAAACATCTGTTCAAAGCTTCTTTCAGAGAAGTCCTTTCCATAGTTCATACGTACCACAGTGTCCAGGGGCAGGGGCCTCCATTTGCTCTTTGGCTTGCTCCCAACCTCAACAACAGTTGCTACCGGATCCTAAACAGAGTAAGCAAAACCCCAAATCCCCTTTAAGAGTTTACACAAGCTGTTCTTTAAATGCTTTGAGCAAGAGGGGTGCAGGGAAAGTTATACAACTGTTTACAAGCTTTCCTACCTCCATACACATTTGGTAAAGAACCAGGCATGCTGTGTGATTGAAGAGTCGGTTCCTCTTCCAGTTGAAGAGCACACTGCCATCTTCATGGTCATGGGTCACTGTGGGGAACAACAGAGCTGATAGAGCAGTAGTCAAATGGAAATATCTCAAAGACACTGGGGTCACACTATTGGGAAACCTTTCAGTTTTGCTCAGTGGTCATGGCAGAGGAAACCACCTCTTTGATTTTCCTTTCTGTGCACTCTAAGGTGGAGCCCAGGACTGGTTTTCCCCAAACATACCTTTAATTTTGTAGAAGGCTTCAGGAACAAAGGCCTGGATGGCTTTAAAGCGTTCAACTACAAATCCCAATGTTGGGAACTGGCAGCTCCCATAGCTGATCAGTTGATCTGCTAAAACATCAGGGAAGATTTTCTGCAGCCTCAATGTCTGGAATCTGGTGAAGGCAGCACCTGAGGAAACAAAATGGGCATCAGAACTGAACACAACAATGTTGAATGATAATCACCATACTTCAGATGGTTCTTTGTATAGTCTGAGTATTAATTTTACTCTAAGAAGCTTGTTGGTGCTGTGTAAGCTCTAAACCTAGTATTTGCTTCAAGGAGCAATTTCTTCCTTTCAGGAGGAATTTCTTCACGGAAAGAGTTGTCAGGCACTGGAAGGGGCTGCCCAGGGAGGTGGTGGAGGCACCATCCCTGGAGATGTTCCAGAAACAAACGGACATGGCACTTAGTGTTCTGGTCTAGTTGACAAAGTGGCAATTGCTCACAGGTTAGACTTGATGGTCTTGGAGGTCTTTTCCAACCTAAATGACTCTGTGATTCTAAGAGCATGTTACCAGTGAAACTTGAGATGTCATTTAGTTGTATCAGACCTAAAAATCAGGTTAATGACACCACAGAATGCATTTCTGCCTTGTTTTGAGGTTCCAGGAACAGATGTTTCTATACCTATCCTGAGGTCCAGCTCCTGCCTGACATCGACAGCGTCGCTCGTTTTTTGGTCTGGTTGGGCAAGGTTCTCACAGGCTGACCTGACAGCATGGAGGGTGATCTCTGAAAAACGGGCTCGGAAAACCTGCAGGTTTGGCTTCACTGCCAGAAACACACAAAAGAGAAATCAGAGTGACTCAAATACCACTAGAAAGGAACAATTAACAAAGCTAGGGTTGAAAGACCATGTTGTCCATGTGTTCTACAACTTTCCAACAGCTGAATATAGTTCTGGTCTACCAGAGCCACAAACTTATCAGAACTACAGTCAATATTTAACCTGGACACAGTAAGATGGAGAATATGCCTGTTAAAATATTTCTGCGCAGCAATACCTGTTAAATCTTTAATGGAACTCAGACTGACGAAGAGACTCTACGCACCAGCTCTGCACACATGGATGATCTCAAAGCCAATGTTCTCTCCTTCTCGATCACAGTCGGTCCAGATCACCAGGGCTTGGCACTGCTGGATTTCTCGTTCAAGGGTTCTCTGAGAGGAGGAAAGAGCACAGTGAGGCATTCCAGGCCACTTGCTTTGCCACTGCATTTTGGAATGACTCACAGAACACAAAACACAACGCGTGTCCATGGAGATGGATTGTTGCGATAACATTTTGTAACTGTGTCTCATGAGATTGAGCAGCTTTCAACAGGATTGAGTCATTTATTTACATATAATTCTGTTAAAAATCTTGGCTTGGAGAGGGCTGTACCACAATCTGTTTTCTAAAAATGTCATGTGTTGTAAAATAGAGACACAATCATCAATTCCACCTTGTTGGAAAAAAAGGCTTCTATTTTTAGCCAAGTAGTTGTTCCTTCACCGTATTAGTTGTACACAAGCAGGAGAGTTTCAGTGTAACAAATGAACAGAATTAATAGTCCTAGAAATTCAGGACAAATTTGCTAAACTCTAGAAACTTGGATGTTAAGGACAATAGTATAATCATCCTTCTGCCTGGGACAATATTTGTAGAACCAACTTTGGAACTCAGGGAAACTCTTAACCACAACATACCTTGATATCCACATAATTTTCAGGGCAATACTTCTCAATTTCAGCATCAAAAAGAGCTAGAGGGTTGCAGCTGTGCCTGGGAAACAGAGGATAAATAGTGTGCATCACATCAATTAGAGCATATGTTGTGAGACATAAGTGGTGCTAAGTACTGGAATTAGTAATGTATTTTATTACCGGGCTCAGACAATGTAGAGTTCATGTGAAATGCTGAATTACACTTAAAAGCAACAGAAACAAACAGAGGAAAGAGCAAATCTGGAAGGTGACAAGCAAATTCTCTTATCTCAAGCCCAGAAAACAGAGGGAGGGAAGTCAAAGAAAGTGCCTTGCTCCCCAGGACAGCTCCTGGCTGAACAAAGAACACAAAAACATTCAGTCTGGGAATCAGTTTAATAACTTGGATCTGCTTTGGTGTATTTTAACCACTATTGACTTTGGAGGCTTTTAGCACTCTAAAGACAGGAATTTGAAACAATATTTTAGCTATTATCTATAAAATTTTGTACTCATTGCTCTGCTCTGAGTCAGAGTCCTTCCCTGCTCCCTTGTCTTTGAGCTTGCAGCGTCCCACTCAGCTCAGGATAAAAAGCAGGAGGTGGCAGACCCTTCCCTGCCAGGGGCAGGAGGTGGCAGACCCTTCCCTGCCAGAGGCAGGAGGTACCAACCATTTGCGAAACGGCATCTTAAAATCATGAGCCAGTAAGTGTCCTGACACGGATGTCATCACCATGGTGACATTCTGCAAGAGACAGAGCAAGGTAATTAGTGCCAATTGTCTGCCAAAAACTGCCCACAGCCTCAAAATCTTCCTCCAGTTCTCAATGACACAACCCTCCTGCTAATCACAGACTGGTTTGTGTTGGAAAGGACCTTAAAGTTCATCTTGTTCCACCCCCTGCCATAGACAGGGACACTTTCCACTAGACCAGGCTGCTCCAAGCCCCAACCAACCTGGCCTTGAACACTTCCAGGGATGGGGCAGCCACAACTAATCATCATAACAATCTCTCTTCTCTACTGACAGCTAAATCCATGGCCTTATCCTCGATTTTTGTAGGAAGCTCCCAATTCTAAACAGCAATGACTGATACAAAACCAGAAAGTTGAAAGACTTAAAGCAACAAAGCAGGTGGTTGAGCCAAGAAAACAACATCTGACTTTTCCTCATCTCTGGACAGAATGTCCTCATCGCTGGGGACATGTTTCAAAACTCCTGACAAATGGCTTTTATAATTAGTATTTGCACTTTGTTAATCAAACAGCAGATTGCAAGGAAGCTCTTACCTGGCCAAACATCTGGTAGTCATATTCATAGATCTTGTTGAACTTGGAAAATCCTTCTCTCTGGAAGGAAAAGGAGAGTTCCTGAGTTTCTGGCTTCCAATAGAAAACAAACCCATCCCAACTCACTTAGTACATGCTGTAATGGAGCACAGGAGGCACAGATCAAGGGAAAACCAGGTCCTGGGCCTAATGGGAATTGCAGCAGGGTCAGTGGGAAATGTCTTTATCTTTTATGGAGACACTGAAATGGTCGTTTCCACCAAAAGTGTTTTAGACCATGCCTGAAGGTGACTCCAGGGTTATCTCCCCATGGATTGTGAAGAACTGATTTGTTCATTAGGGCTGGTCAGTTACCATAGAGTCACAGAATCTCCTGACAAACACCTGTCCTTCTCCAACCAGCAATTAGTGTCCCAGCTCCAGGCCCCCAAGGCTACTTCCCACCTAAGTGAGACTTGTGGAAGTTTCTAGATTGTGTATTTGCTGTTTTTTCTATAGCAGCAGTACAATATCTTCCTGGATTGGGACTGCCAGTGCTCAGGTTCTCAATACTACCTTGCAGAAATAAAGGAGGTTGTAGCCAGGTGGGGATCAGGCTCTTCTCCCACATAACAACGGACAGGACAAAATGAAATGGCCTCAAACTGTGCCAGGGTTGAACATCAAGAGGAATTTCTTCACAGAAAGGATGTCAGGCATTGGAAGGGGCTGCCTAGGGAGGTGGTGGGGGCACCATCCCTGGAGGTGTTCCAGAAAAAAATGGACATGGCCCTTAGTACTCTGGTCTAATTGACAAAGTGGTGATTGGTCACAGGTTGGACTCAATGACCTTGGATGTGTTTTCCAACCTAAATTGTTCTGATTTTGGTTTAGAAGTACCTTCCAGATCCTCAGTTTGGAAACACCAAGTGATTATGCAAACTGATTATGCAAACAGAACAAAGCAGCAGAGATCTCTGAATTCCTCTTCTCCACACCACAGCCTATTTTTGCTTTATTCTGCAAACTCCACTAAACCACTGACACTTGCTGAAACTGCAGAAGTGGTGCTTTTTGACTGAGAAATATGTGCCAACAGATGGTTTCAGTTCCTGAAGCCTATGTAACACACTGCTAACCACCAGTGCCTAGGGAAGGCAATTGAGGCAGAGGAAGCTGAACTCCAACAGGACTTAAGCCACAAGGAAAAGGGATCTGAGACTCCAAAATACATTTGGGCAAGTGGTGTTTGTGCACAGGCCAAAGCCATTCTTGTACCCTCATGTGGTCAGAAGTGGCCAGAGACAAAAACAGTGCAAGATGTGAGACATGCTGATGTGAACTGCCCATGCCATGCTCTGCTGAGCTGAGGCTGCCACACACATCAGAGACCTGACTCTCTCCAGCCAGATAAGCCACACCTGTCTGCTTATCAGGGAGCAGTAAGGAGATGTGGTGTGTTCCTACCCGTCGCATCCTGCTGTTGGAGAGCAGATCAGCAATCCCTCGGGCAGCATCATTCTTCTCAGCCACACACAGCACCTTCCGGATCCTCTGGAGCGCTGTGTCCTCCGCAGCGCGGGAGAAGAGGCGCCAGGGCTGCGGCAGCATCCTGCCCCCGCGGCCGGCAAACAGCCTCACCTGGAGATGCATCACAGGAGAGAGCCACAGCTCCCGCGGGGACAGGACATACTCCTGCTCCGTGTCCTGATCCTGCCGGGAATGGAGAGAGATCCCTGATGTCACTGCATGGCTCCTCAGCCTGTAACCACCCACCGTGCAAGGGCTCAGGGCATCTCCTGCCTGGCACGGGCAGCCCCCACCCTGGACACAGCTGCCGGGGGTGCTGTATCCCCCGGGGGCTGGCAGAGTTCTCTCCTGCCCTGGCAGAGCTGGGGCTGTCCCTGCCACCCACAGCCAGGCAGCGCAGACCCTCCGCCACCCCTGAACCCGCAGGGCTCTCCCTCACCAAGGGCAGGACAAGGCAGGTCCTTCCCGCCCCGGCCTCCTCCTCACCTAGGGCATCCCCTCCCCGGTTCCTCCCCCGCCGGGCTCTCCTTACCCCGGGCAGGACAGATCCTCCCCGGGTTCCCACGCTCCCTCGCCCGGGGCAATCCCTCCCCCCCTTTCCCCC